TACTTGGTTTCTTCAGTCAGCTTTGCCAGGCCAAGCCGGAACTTGTGGAAGGCAGCATGCTTCTTTCCGTCCACGACTTGGCTAGACTATGCATAATGTAGACGGTACTTGTGCGCCTTCATTCAGTCGTCAAAGGAACAAACACGCTTGAATAAGGTGGACTTTCGATCATCCTTTGCTACATGCTGCCACCCATTCAGGATGGAAGGATAATGAAGGATATTTTTTTCTAGACACGGTCTCCCAGTCCGACCATTGTTTTATAAAATTGTTTTTGACTCCAAACTTGTTATACGTGACATATAGCTGAAGATCTCACTTTCCACCACCCGCAGTGCCTCATGGTCTTCTTTCTTCGTGTGGGACCGGCTGCGTCGGATCTGGTGGCTGCCCGCCTCCGGCGCTGGGGTCCCAGGTAGCAGGACGGAAGCTGGACCAATTCAGCAAAGCTGACATCAAGGACCTCATGCATGGCAAGGCCGGTACATGCCGGTACCAACTGACACAGGGACCGACCTTTTGGATATTTTGGATGGATTTTGTTTTGCAGTTGTTTGATGACGAGGATATTGCCTTTGTGTTGTGCAGAAACATTTAAGGAACTGTGGTATGTTTAAGGGGCTTCAAGTTTGTGACTGGATGGTTGATCTAGCGGACTTGTTTGAAAGATTGAATTCTCGAAGTGTTTCCAAGATCGGTTTCACCTCAGATTCACCGAGCGAGGGAACAAAGTGATGAAAGAGGATCTTGCCAACCAGCGCTATGTGCTGTTGTGATTAAGAGGAAGCAAGCTCGATCGCCATTTGCCAACACTTTTGGCAACCCGAATGCCTAAGAGATCTAAAGGATTCTAAAGGGCACTATCCATATCTCGAAGAATTGTCAGGGTTAGTAGGAGATGCAATATAATCTCAGGATGAGATGAGAGGATGATGATGACCTGTTGTATTCATATTTGAGAAGCACGTTGGACCTACATGGTGGTGGGGGTCCGCTTCCAACTAGGACTCAAACAAATGCTGCTCAATCCTGACGAGAGTGAAGAGGAGACAATTTGTCTGGACATTCCTGGACCAGGGAAAGCAGGTTCGACCCAACTCTTTGGTGGAATCTTCACTTCGGTCGGCTTCAGTGGATCACAACCCTACAGCAGATTGGTTGCCCGACGCACCACGTTCGAAAAGAATCGAAGCGCTCGACATGGTGCGGCATTGACCACAGCGAGGGCGAAGCGTGGGTGGCGAGAGTCGTCAGGCGGCATTGGAGGACTTGTTTTACATCCAAAAGGATCTGAAGGCTGAGGTCCATTTGACGGAGGGGCCGAAGAATTTTGTGGGACCAGACTGGCCGGAGATTAGAAGGATTTGATTCGAAGGACGTACTATATATATATATCAAAGTATGTATCAATTCTAATTAAATTTAGTTTATATAATGTTACTTCTAATTCTATTGAATTCTTGTTTCTAATAGCTTCTTGTTTCTAGTAGTAAGGCCAGGAGCCCCTAGTAGCTTCTTGCTCCTAGTATCGATGCCAGGAGCCCCTAGTAGCGTCCTATGGGATCTTCGACCCAGTTGGGGAGATCTCCGAGATAAGAACCGTAATTCCCCTCCGAGCACACCAAGACACACACACACACACATGCACGCACACCCGCACACACAGACATGGAAGTGGAAGCCCCGCCGGTTATAACGGAAATTGTTGGGGCCAGTCCCATCCACTTCCTGTCAATCGGAAGGAACGATTTCTTAAAATTTGGATGCCAGTTGTTCTTGGCCCTGACCGGGGTAAACAATGGTAAACAAACAATGGTAAACAGGTGGGTGCCAGCCTCTTGCAAGCCGCTCCATATAAGCCAATAATATGGCCTACATTCACTACCAACAATCGCCAAATGTTGCATACCTGTGAGCGTTTGGGCATGTCTTTTCACTGCATCACCAAGTGTTGATTCATGTCGTCTATTATTTTCCTGGCGGAATCTTCAAGCACTTCTTAAGTTTGACCAACAAGCAACGATGCATGTGGGCAGGTTGCTCTTCAGTCGTGCTTGGGTGGCAAGATCACGGATCACAAGGCCTGCAAAGGTTGCAGCAGTTGTTAAACCTTTAATGTATTTATTTATTAAATAGCTAGACTCTAGACTTGGACAAACCGGTTTTGGAGTCCTTTTGCCTTTTGCCAGAAGTGGTCTGGCAACGGATGGTAACGGCAACACCTGTGCTTAAAAGGCAAGTTGTTCCAGACTCTGACGTTCACTCTGATGATCCAGAATGGCTTCAGAGAATGGGCTTCAAGAATCCCAAAAGACTCAAACAACCTGACTCCCGGACTCCCCGATCACACTCCTGGCAGGTCAACACCACCAGAACACCTGAATTCAACCAGGCGGGAGGACTCGGAGGGAGATCCCACCATAGATTCAGTCACCACACGTGACACGGTCCGTAGGATGCGCGCGATGCCCACCCCGCTCCAGCGGAGACCGAAGCTTGTCCAAGGGTTTCCAAGCAAAGTGTACGATACCATGCGTCCCTGATGCCCATGTGTTCGAGCTGTACCGTAGCTCCGAGTAGCTATACGGCTTGCGGCAGGGCATCGTCTACATTGATGAACCTGTGACAGATGGCCTGACCCACAAGTACGCCAGATGCTCAGTCCTCCAATTCATTCCAATTCCATTCAGACCGGGCCGACAGATGAGAAGGAAATACAAGATGATCATGATGATCATGACGATGATGATGATGATGATGATGATGATGACGATGAGGATGAGGATGAGGATGAGGATGAGGATGATGATGATGATGATGATGATGATGATGATGATGATGATGCTGGCGGCGGCCTGGCGGGGAAGCGGCGACGGCGACGGCGACAATGATGCTGCTGAGGCTGATGTAAGCATGTACTAAAGCTACACTTCCAAGCATTTGGATCCCACTCAGAAATTGGATTGTTTTTGGGTTCGGAGCCTTCGAAAGACAGGAAATCTTTGGTGACGTCGGTGTCATGGCCATGACGCAGAACCATGTGTCGGAGGCAGCTCGGGCGGCTCGCAGGTGGCGGGGCGGGCATGGATCCCCGCTCCGCACAGAAGTTCAGAAGGGGTTTTCATTGGTCGGTTGGCAAGATGCGGCAAAGGGCAAATACTAAGGGGGACACCCACTAAATGAAATAGCATGATAATACATATAGCCACTGACAAGAGCGGTGTTTTCCTCTGGCCAGCGGATGACCCTCTTAAAACTACAGCCGCCCCAGAAGAGAGGTAGACTCATTGTGACTCATATTAGTATAATATCGACAGTAATATCGACATAATATCGACCATAAATATTCTGTAGTTGATAAAGAGGGCATAGAGAAGATCGCTTGTTTGAACCAGAGACTTCGTAGGGGTCTTTGCATCTTCACACAACGAGACAATCCGAACTGACATGTGTGCTCATGATCACCGAAGGATTCCTATAATTCCTGCTGACTGATACATGAATCAAATGAAATATGCATCTTATTTTATTGAAATACCTTCTTGAAAGACCATGAAAGACCATATTATATTTGCTTTGCAAACTACAGCGTTTTTCCACCACCCCATGCAGCAAGAACATCACCTGCCCCCTTTCTTCCCCCATTTGTTGCTGTGCAGGCCTTCCATCGAAGTGGCAACCCCAGGCTCAGCCGCTGGTTGCTACCCGAAAAGGTCACGAAGCCGCGGTTGATGTGCCTCGGACGATTGATGTGCGGTCTTGGGCGCGGTTGGTGAGGTTCTAAGGCAGTACAACATCTTCGTATCCAATGCAGGAAATGGTCGAAATCAGAATTCAGTAATTCTGTAGAAAGACATGAACTTTGGCTTGAAAGCTAGGCTTCAAAGTCTTCTTTCGATCGTAAAGATGTTGGAGGGTGTTGCAGCCCGTTTCTTCAGAGGCTTCTAAGGACCCTTTCCTAGTGATTTGTCCTCATCCCAGGATCACCTATGTCCGTCCTGGAAGCTATGCGAGTGAAGCTCGACGGAAGGGTTGGCTTCGCAGGTGGTGACCGGTGGGTGCTGGAGGTTAGCCTTTTTTTTGCAGACAAAGACTGTTCTGGTAAACTCTGTGCTGCTTTTGATTCTGGTTGCAGAGGATTTGCAGGTGGCACACGTGGAGAACCGAAAAATGACCGAAAAAATGATAAGCACACCCGATACTAATGGGTTCGTGAGGTAGAGGAGGTGTGTGAAAATCATAGGCTGACCAGAAATGGTCGGGATAGTTTTGACACTCATGGGAAGCACAAGAGTCGAGGTTTTTATGTGAACCCGTTCGAGCTTGAGCAAAACCGAGGAGGTTCTGGCAGAAGGCTCCGCTGTTGAGAAGGCAATGGACAGCGGTCAGCGCATGGTTTGTTGTTTTAGCTACAGATGCATGACACTGATCGAAATATCGTGCGTTTTCGGGCATCGTAGTAATGCTTGTGTTTTCTTCGAGAGAATGCACATTATATCACATTATGCATTTTAATTCGGGGTAGTTTTTGTTGAATGTCCTGTAGTGTAATTATACTTCGAAGTCAAATCACGAGCCTGGATGAAACTCTGTAGAGTTGAGTATATAAATGTCTAATTATATATTTGATAGTACTATATGTAGTGTTAGACAGCTTCATTAGCAGACATTGGCCTAAAATTAAGGAGAAGGACCCCTGTGCAGGAATGTGCAGGACATAATATGCTACAGTCAGTAGAGATGCTTCTGGTGAGAACACACCCTTCAATGGACCCATGGCCAAATGAGATATCTACCATCATTGACCCCCATTTTTTTTGAAACGACGAACTGGCCTGCTTCTGAAAGTTCACAAACCTTTCTATTACTAGTAGTAAGAATGCTCCTAGTAGCGATGCCAGGAGCCCCTAGTAGCGTCCTTGCTCCTAGAAGCGATGCCCTTTGCTCCTAGTTGAAAGTAGCAAGAAAAACACAGCAAGATTGTGTCTCCGATGTCTTAGCTGGTCTGCCACATGCGTCACATGGCTTTCGAATGATTGATGCCATGGCTTTCCATCAGCGGGCTTCCTGCTTGCTGCCGGGCAGATTTTGCCCACGGTGATGGTGGTGGGGAGCCCAAGCAAGCGAAGCGAGGATGTCCGGCCACATCGCTGGGCTGTTGGAAGGTTTGTTTTCGCTTGTTGGTTCTGGGCAGCAACTTGCTATCAGAATCAGATATGGCTCAGAATATCTCAGAATGTGAGAAGTCCAAAGTCATTCCGAGCCCAATTTTTGCTTGACTAGTGCATGTTCATTTTGAGAAAACAAGACAATCTAGGTTTGACGGTTTGACGGGAGTCTAGATGGCACTGAGATGGGTGAATCCTCTAAGGTGATGTGTACTGAAGAAGCTCCTCTCCAGGTTGACTTGCACCAGCTGCAGGAAAGGACATCTTCAATCCGCATTGTGACAAAGAGCACCATCGCGGAAGATCTCGGAAGACTGGATTGGCGCAAGAAAAGTGTCGATGCTGGGCAAGGATGCCTAAAGAATTGCAGGGTTTTGTTCAGGCAGTAGTGCTGGCAGTTTGGATAGCAACTGGAATGGCTATAGCGGCTATGGTGTGAAAGTAGCTGTCCAACAGAGTCCAACGTCACCTGCGGATCACGTGTTGAACATGTTTGCTTCTGTGCGCAGGTCAATGGCAAGACTGTGAGGACACTGGAGGATTGCCATGTGGCTATGTTCTTCATGCCAGCAGTGACAGCTGCTGAAAAACGATGAGTTCTTGAAAGTGAACCGGAAAGCACCAGCTGCACACACACACACACACTTTAGTATTCGTCCAGGATGCGTAGGGATATATCTGGATGATCAATCCCCAACAGAATAATCTTTTTCACAGTTCACCTGGCTTCCCATGCACAGAAACACCACTCCTGGGAGATCGCAGGCTACCATTCCGAACACTTCGATGCCTTGAGGAGTGGCGAGACGCCTTGATGCCAGAGGATCTGGACATTTGGAGTCTGGAGACAGATTTGGGCATCGTGCTGGCAGCACCCTTCCAGGAGAGGTTTTGCTTTTTCTATTGTATTCTGGCTGTCCGGGCAGGGGATACCCTTCCAGGAGAGGAGTATCCCGGTAGCCCTTTTTAGACATCTTGCAAGAGGGTACACAGGGTGCGAGGAACGCCGACCCAGGCTGCCTGAGGTTCAATGAGCAAAGGAAACTGGCACATGCATGGGAAACTGCTCACCAAGGCTAGGCAGATAGATTGGATTGGTTGAGAGAGCATATGAAACACGGAGTGGTCCTTTCCCGTTGAGAACGTCGACCACATCTCCCATCCTCCCGGGTCACCCTGAAAACGTGGACGGCCTCGCCATCTCCCAGTCTCCCTTTTGGGAGATGGGCTTTGAGACGTGGAAGATTCAGTAGCAAGAGATCAGTGATCGATGGTCTTTTCAAAGCTGTCTCAGATTGGTGGTCAACACCAAAGTATGGCAAAGTGGCAAGCCCTAGGGAAGTTTCATGAAGGTTCTGAAAAAGAGCCCTGCAAGACTTGGATCACCTGGTTGAGGAGACGCTCCGTCGTCAGCTGGAGGGTGGGAAAAAGGAAGGCTATTTGTTGACCAAAGGCCTGAAGCAGGCCGGTGATCGTCCACCTTGTCGTGACGTTTGAAGAGTAGTCAGGTCGACCAAGAAGCAATACCGTTTGGAGGATATGTCGGTCCATTGATTTTTGATAATATCTCTATTCTAGGAGAGAGGCAGACCCCAACATTGTCAAAATAAAAAAAGAAAAAACTGACATATATAGTTTGACCACTGGTTTCTTTGTATATTGTAGCACCCAGAACCATCAGCGACCAAGCAAGTTATCCAAGTGAAGATTCCTCACGATTGGTTGGAATTCGCGTACAAAGTGACGGATATCAGGGTATCCTGCCCTTGCACAAGTGCCGCAAGTGCTACACTCTCTGAAAGAATCATGAAAGTGGATGGCATGGGCCCTTGGAGGATGACAATTTCCTTTGCAAACGGATGGTTTTCCACTTCCATGATTATTTCAGACAGTGTATTTTGTGGAATCTCTGAGAACCAACAGACTTACTTGAGTGTCATTATGACTTCGTGGCTCGCAGGTGGCTTGAGTCATTTGCAATGCCGTGTTGGACACCTGCGCAATGAAGACAGACTACATTATGCAAGAAGCGAAGCTTGTTCATTTCTTTCGGAATGATTCTTGCTGAACATATGCCACTTCAAGACATTCAATAACAGAATAACAGATCATAGAACTATCACCCACAGCAATGGCAGACATTGCATCCCGACTCAAAAAGATGTATCACAAGAGACTAGAACCGCACCAAGTCACCGATGCCGTATGTGCAAAGTGGCGCCGGACATGTCTGAGATCCCCAACGACAGCACTGCAGCTCCACTGCAAGCCACGGGTCAACCGGCATTCGCTGCTGTCACTTGCGTCGTCCCAAAGACCGGATTTAGACCGGAGTGGTTCCGACATAGCCTGTAATTAAAGGGCTTTTGGGCCAACAATGACCATCCCCAATAGGTTCCTACCATAGTGTTCCGTTACTTGGGCGAAAACTCCACGGTTGGGAAGGTGCTTCTGCAAAGAATTTGGTCCGCAGCGGTTGGCATGTCTCCGCACTTCTGGGTCCCGGTGGTTGCTCGATTTGATAAATTCTCCAAACCAACCCTGATGGGTGGGAACGTTTGGGGTGGTGCAGCATGCTGTCCATCAGCCATGTTTCTGTGGATTGAGTTGTCAACATAAGCAAATCAAGCAACATCAAGCAAGTGCATCCTCGTGTGACAGGTGTGATTGAGTCTCACACCAGACCAGATGATCCTCATTCAGATGATGTCATTGTGACATTGGGACCGAAGCCGAACGTCGGACTTGGGATACTCAGGGCGACTTAAGGATACTCCATGTGTATCCCAGTGAATCCAATGTTTCCCATATTTTCCGCCTGCTGTTCCTACATATTCTTGCAAGACTTCTTAGGTTGTTTTATGGTCTTTACCGAACAACCATGGTTGCAAGAATTTTACATAATTTTACACTATATACAAAACCATGTCCGCCATTTTTAACAGTTTTTGAAGGCTACGGTGTCATAGACCCCACGTGGTCCCTTTTGGGAATCCCTCTTGGAACCCAAACTCCGCCACTTCCTCGTCACCCAAACCGCTCCAAACCCGCCCCGTTTTCACCGTTTGGCTCTGGCGACGCCAAGGACTCCACCTTTCAAATCGCTTGGGCGTCGCTGGCGGATCTCAGTCCCTTGGGGATGGTGGGTGGCGTAGGTGGACGGAACGACCAATTGAACCGAAATAGCCTCGGCCCCGGAAATCAACCACCCCAATGCAGATGAGTATGCCAGTCCCATGGAGTGTTTGAGGTGACAGATCCGTGTTTGCGAAGATGGGATGGGAGGGGCACCGAGTGCAACAGGTGCAAGAAATGGTTGTTATCAATACTGCACGACTTGTTGTTTTGATGCGACTCAGTATGACCATGTCCAGTTAAGCTGCTATGAAAAACGGGAGAATAATTTCTGGTGTTCACTCGAAGAGAATTGGGCTGGTTTTGTATATAATCTTAACCATATACTGGTCAAGCGTTTTTTGCTTGCAAAATGCTTGAACACTGGGCGTTGGCAAAGTGCCCCACGGCAAATGCTTCTTCCCCAGTCCAGTCAAACTGGGTGGGCGCTGAGGTTACCAGAAGAACTGGATCAGCACTGGTGAGGCCGGTGAGACGACCGCCGTGGGTCTTGCAGAGAGAGGTTGCGGTTAAGGCTAACCACCTCAAAACGTCACCTTGTACAAGAGTTACAAGAGCATATCATACCCAAACGCTCCATATAAGCCAAATATGGCCTGCATTCACCACCCAAAACCATAAAACGAATGCAATAGTTAATAAGTATTATATATTTTATATCATTATATATCCATGTGCCCAAAGTTCACATGTATTCACCATGCCTAGGTTTTTTTCCACTTCATCATACTTCATTTTTCTTTGACTTTTGCAGACAATTATTTTTTGGGGAGTGGTGCTGACAGGTGTCGACCATTTGGATCGAAGTCGCTGGGGATCACAGGGAGAAGTGACTCAAAATAGGGTGCAGCCGTACCAAAATGGGTGTCTTGGGAGAAGAGCTTCGACTCAGGCGAACAGAAAGAGAGATAAGGAGTTGGAAGAGCTTGAGGTTCGAAAGTGCGCCTCACAGGACCTGTGTCGCATCTCCAAGGAGCAAAGTGAGTCATACATGTGCTTCCAAAATCTTCCAAAAAAAACAGAATATCCCTTGGGGTCTCCTGGAACAAACAAAATCAGAGCCCAAAACACTCCTAAAGCTGAACCTCAACACTTGTTGGAGTGGTCCATGTTGTTTCTTTTCGGGGAGGCAACAGCGTTTTATAGTGTGTTTTGACACTACGTACTTGAGTTGTGTGCTTTGGCAACAACTGGGTGATAAGCTTTTAGCACCAAAGACCTTTCATTCCCAAAGAGATGGGCTTGCGGGTGAAAATGGCACCGATGAACATGATGAACATCCCCCTCGGGCCTAGGGCTTAGGGAACGGCAGCTGTGGGCTTTGGCTGCTTCGACCAGGTACTTCTTCGTTGTCCCGCATTTTCGACGGAAAAGCAGCAATGATGATAGCAAGGTGGAGAAAGACATGGAATCCAGATTTGCTCAGACCAAATACGACGTCTTCAGCCACTCGCTGGAACCACCTCACCTTGTGCCCATCTTGCGCCCGCAACACGCGCGTAAAACCCGGCCAGACATGATCACATGCTTGGGGAGGTTGATGGAACCCCTCCATGGTTGAATTCCTTAGGAAAGAGGGAGAGATCATCAAACACATCCCGCCGGCCTGAAAACTGAAGTCGTGTTTCTGTGGGTTTTAGGCCACGCGGATCGACGCGTCTTGGTGACTAGAAAGCTTATGTCCTAATTGCAGTGTCTTTCTACAGTAAAATTATTTGCATCATTTTGTAACAGTGTGGTTTCGTGCTAGCAGCGAGAAGATAAGATAGGACTCCCACGATTATGCCTTGAAATCGCACAAATCTCATGAATATAGTATATAGAGAGCACCTCACCCACCCCGATTAAGTAGCAGTCTCCTTCAATGAACTTGTTGTGAGGCCGATTTGAACATATGCAAGCCACGATGAACGTGCTGACAACCCACCCACCCACCCACCCACCCACCCACCCAGCACCACTGCACCCTATAGTTTAATCACAATTGGTGTGAAGCTGATGAAGAAGATGACGAGGACGACGATGATGAAAGTGACGATAGCGATTGTGATATCTCAACAAAAGCATGAAAAAAGAGCTGTAGCACGGTTCTCGGGCCATAAACAAACATCCTTGCGAATAGCTAGCGCATGGCCGGTTGATGTCTATGTAGGCAATGCTGATGTTTCACCCAAGTGTCTAGCACCAATTCATTGCACGGGCTAGCCGGTACGTTGAAGGTTGACGTTGAAGCTTCCTGAGGTGTTGAAGGTTACACTTTTGGTGTCATGGCGTGCTTGTCACTGATGTATTCAGATGCATTCAGTTACAACAAAAAGAACTCGCAAACTGTACCACCGGGTGATTCCGCAAGAAAACACAGGAAGTTCTCCTGGTCCTCACCGATGGCTCTGAGGATCGGCGGTGATGAAGTCGAGTGCCTTCATGGCCCTCTTGACCGCGGGCGTCGCCGTGCATGCCACGCTGGCAAAGCTTTGGGTGAGAACCGCCTTGCTTTGGGGGTGTCTTGGAGTGCACGATTTCTTGGGTGGTGGGGCCGTGGTTGTGTGTGTGTGTTTTTAACAAACATGAAGGACTCAGCAACCATCGTCATGATCATCAATGATGTGTTCATTTGTTGGGGTGTCCAACCAAACAAAATCTTCTGAGGAAAACCTGGGACATTGCGCAACATTTGATCAATGGTCCGTGAGAATCATGGACACCTCATTACACTTCCTTTAGATCAAGTCGTTTTGTCTCTCTTTGTTCACAATGGGAGACCAGGAGACCCCCCAGCGGTCGTGATGTCCCAACGAACCACCTGCAGCAGTAGCTGACTTGAAGGATGGTCAGTCCACTACCTCAAACTGAGTCATGTCGCCCGAGCACTCCCATCCCCATCACCCAACCCAAAGGTTCACCAGATTTGTGGAGGGATCGTTCTTTTTTGTACAGTATAATATATGTGTATACTGTATATGTGTAAGTGTTTTTAAACATCTTAAAACTATATATGTTTGACCATTTGTAGCATGCTTTGAGCCCAGTTCCGGCCTCACTCGTCCCTTTTGGCCACCAGTCACACTGCCATCCTCCAGGTTGATTGTGCCACTCTATGCAGGGTACAGCTCCTTGGTGGACAGAGAGGCAGAGAGGCCCTTAGACCTGCACAGCTCTCCTAGTGTTGGGTGGTTTTTTTCCTTCATTGTTTGGACATGCTTGGCTTCAATCAGCACCAACGAATGATCAACTTAGCGGATCCAACAGTTTATTGTGTTGTTCTAATCTAATGATTCTAATGTTAAGTTTCCCAAAACATCTAGAAACCAAATCATTAGTGCGAGCGCTTCTTGAAGGAAGCTTCCCTTTAGGGCGGCGGGGGGAGCTTCCTTGAAGAAGCGTGAGCTATACTGCGTCCAGTTGCTAGTAGCTTAAGTAAGCTAGTAGCTTACCTCCTGACTTAATTAAGTAGGCGCCTACTTAAATAAGTAGGGAGGAGGGGGAGCGGGCTACAAAAAAAGGGGGAAACATTTGGGAACGAAGAGCTGAGTCGAGGTTGGTCTTGTTGACTGTGTCCGAGGCATCAGGCCCTTCAGCCCTTCACCTGACCTTGCTTTGGAACTGACCACATGATTTGTCTAGGTTTGCGACGGTTCATGCAAAAGAATTTATTGTATGCTGATGTTTGGTCAGATGTTCTCAGTTTCAACCTTGCAGCAAAACCTTTTGCAGTCCTATAGACAATATTAAGGTTCCAGTGTCCAACAGCTTCTTGGCTTACTGGGCGCAGGGAATAGAAGCAGATGAACATGAGAACCTTGGTTTGGATGCTGCCCTCGTGTTTTCAAGGTCTGGTAGCCTCAAGGCGGGGTATTTGGAAACGCTTGGCACACTACCGCGTGGTGCTCCTATTTTTGCTCGGTCTTCAGAGCACCTCGGTGGAGAGGTGTTCTGAGATGGGTGGAATGTGGAATTTGACACCCGCTGAAGTAACGGCATCATCGCCATAGTTTGCGTGCGAACTTTGGAGATACAAAGAAATATGGTATGAAAAGTTTGGAGGCCCAGGCTGGCCGGTATGCAGATGCGCAAGCTGGTTTCTTCAGACCGGCTGCGTCCGATTCGTTGGCCACTTCCAAGAGACTGGGGTTGGTGGTTTTGGATGGAAATAAGCGGATCGGACCACCTCCAATCCTGTCATTCACCGTCTCAGGTGCCTCAGTGGCGCTAGCCGAGTGGGATCGGCCACTTCCCACTGCGGGACTTTTGTTGCTGCACACAACCTTTGTACCTTGGACGGAACATTCGCGATACACTCGAGGTTTGGATTTCAAAAAAGCCTTTTCGCATCTTTTCGCCGAAAAAGCTTCGGCGAAGCGCTTTCCATGGTGGTCAAGTGGTCAAGAAGTGAAAACAGTCCCAGTTCTTCCGGATGAACGCATAGTTAAAAGTTTTGCATGCAAACACGTGACACAGGCTCAGGTTTGAGGTCCATGCAGCGTGAGTCAACATTGACCGCCCCAGCTTTGAGGGCCCACAGTTTTGAGGGAATCGTTCAAGCAAACCCTCACAGGGCAAACAAATAAGGATCCAAGCCCTCCCTTCGAGAACCACACCAAACACAAGTCACAAGCACCAGACAAAGAGCCACACCCTGGCAGCAGAGAAACAGAAACGACGACAACAACACAACAACAACAACAACAACAACAACAACAACAACAACAACAACAAC